AAAAGCTAGATAAATAAATACGAAATGCGACTATTCCTTAGAAACCAGGCATCATTCAGTGTCGGTTGTCCCAGGTTCCCTCTATTCATTACACTGGTTATTGCCTCAACTCCCCCCAGCCCTGTTAACCTTGATTATTTTGGCATGCTAAGAAGAACAAACAGCTCTCACGCGGCAGCTTCCCCAGCGCGGTTCCTAACCAGATAACTGTGAGGAGAAGAAAGAAGTGTTTTGCCCCAGAATTTCGCCTTTCAGACTTGGGTAAAGCATTGCTGAGTGTGTAACACTCCAGCTGGATTAGTGGAGTGAAATATGCCCCTAACAGACCAGAGCTTTCAGTGTGTGCACCCAGAGGCAACACAACACTATTGAGGGATCCTCTTTTCTTAAACCCCTTAGAAGTTGTTTTGCATGTACATGTCAAGGCATGGGAACAATTTGAGACTTTTCCTTCTACGTCTCTATAAGTAAAGATTCCCTCGATCCGAGGTCCGGTTCCACTGCAGAGTTTGGTAACAATGGGACGCTTAATTATGGAGAGCAGCCGAAATGTATGCCGTGATTTACTCCGCTTCCTTTAAGGGGAAATCATCCAGATTTCGTCTTTCCCACAAAGAAGATCTGGAAGGGGAACAAAGCTGGAGGCGATAGAGTAGCTAAGAAGGTTTGGATTGAGGCTGGATATGCACCATGCAGCCACAGGTACAAGAAACAGTTGTCTTAGCTGTAAAAAAATTTCACAGCCTATGAGTTAATGAAGTTTTGAAAGCCCGGGACAGCTGCGAAAAGCATAGGGTGACTGTATGGAAACAAGGGAAGTCGCCGGCTGGTGACCTAGTGGGGGAATTGGTTCGGGAGGTTGTTGGTTTTTTCCAAGATTATAAAGAGAAATCAAAGCAGACTTGGTGAGCAGTCAGTGACCTTCGCTAGCTGGGCATGTGGCTTTCTCTGTCCTGCTTGCCAGTCCTTCTGGAAGAGACAAAAAGGGCCGGGTTGGATAGGGGGAGTTCTGTCACTGCATCGTAACGGATCAGAGAGCAATGAATTGCTCTCGACTCCTTTAAGGTGCTGCTTTGATTTGATTGATCTTATGGATTTATTTATTGCAGCTAGGAGAACCGGGGGCCGGAAACCCCCCAGGGTTGAGGGTTAAGATGGGTAAGGAATAGTCTAGAGGGAGGTAGCTCGCCTGAGCACAGTGGCAACCACATGGTGTGGTTTGCCAACTCTCGCTGGGGGCTGGGGAGAAGCGCGGGCAACCCCTGACTTCCACCGATTCCTACCCACTGGGCTTGCCTGCTTTGGCAGATCTCTGGGCTGTCCCGCAGCGAAAAGTCCAATGTTCTGGGCGGGGGAACCCCTCGGATGTGTGTTATTGTCGTTCGCTGAGCGACTGCTATCAGAAAGAGCGCCCTGATCCGGGGAACTGGAGACCCTAGCCCCTGCTGGCTTCAGCGTACCTGCCAGCTCGCCTCAAAGCTTTTCCGAGACAGGTTTGCAACGAACTGAAACTCAATCGCCTTCCTTTCCTGGCCGAGAGACACACTAAACTTCCCTCCTCCAGCCAGCGGGACTGTGCGCCGCGGAGAAGAGATCCCTTTGCATCTCTTCTCTTGGGATGGCCAGACAATGGCTTAGCGCTGGGAGTCATTTGCTCCGTCCAAGCACCAGTTTCCGAGAGGTGACAAACATAACCGCACAACCCCCTGGAAGATCCCGAGGTAGCTTTCGATGGGCTAGACGGAGCTAATCGGTCGAGCACACAAGCTACACACACGGTTTCCTACCGATAAAACTTGGGAGTGTGGCTTTGACAAGTTTTGGGGACTTATCAACCAATCCTCTGTCTATAAATCAAGACAAACAAATTGCAAATGTCTGTGTCAAAAAGGGGGGAAATTAGTAACTCCATAGTTGCTATGGCCAAAAGAGACAGATATTTGCACTGGGTTATTTTCACTGCGAAATTGACACGTTACAACTATAAGGCGATCTTAAACGAGTCCGGCTTGGTTACATTGTGTAGTTCTCTTTTGTTCTTTACAGTAGGAATACAAACACGTGTTCGTTTGTTTTTTCCTCTGGCCTTTCCTCCTTCAAGGGATCATTACCAGGTAGCTGTGAAAAGTAGGGACGGGACATTAATCTTTAGGAACCCCCCCCCCCTCCTCTAGGATACAAAATGTTGGTTTAAAAAAATCAACCTTAAAAGTGATAACGCAGATTCTATTCAGGTGGATTCAGATCTGATCTGCCCTTCAGTCGAATTTGTTTGTGTGTGCTGTAAGAATTATTTTAAAAAATGACCTAAGGGTGAATAATGATTATGTTATGCGAAACATCTTCAAAAGACTTAGACAGAGAAGCAAGTACTTAAACTCGCCAGGAAAAAAAAATCAGATTGTCCTTTTTTCCCTTTGAAACATTATTTAAATATGTCTAGAGGCAAACAAAGTTTAGCTAGAACGTTAGCTGGGCAAAATACATTCAAGGGCCCAATCCTCTCCTGTTGAATCCATTGGCAAAACTCTCTGCCCACTTTAGAGGGAAACGACTAGCAGTGATGATCCATAAACAGAAATGTATTTTCCTTAGGAAGAAATGTTAACTTTGAAATCTTCTTCTTTCTTCCAGACACCCTCTCCCCACCCCCACTAACTCCTATGGAAACCCCGTGCTTTTTCTTGTAGCGCTTGTTTATTTTCACAACAGCAAATGAAGACATAAGTAACTGAATGATCCCGGCTGGTTTAAAGCCCCGGGGAAGAAGGAAAATGTTGATTCCCCTTAAGAACTTCACAAACGTTGCCTTTTGTGTGCCCGGAAAACAGGCGTATACATATAAAATCAGAGGCTTTGTGCCGGTCCCCTGTCGCGAAGTTGAATTTGTCTCGAAGTCTCTCCCTCCGGGGTTGAGCACTGAACATCTTGTCGCCGGGGTGTGGGTGTGATCCGCATTGTCCCGCCAACCTGGCTGAGGCTAGGGACCTCGGCTTGCTTCAGAAAGTTCCTCTGGCGGAGTTTCCAGGGGCTGATCCGCCCGCCGCCTGGCTGGAAGGGAAAAGGCCATTTGAAGGCTGCATTTTGCCACGTTCAAGTGGATCGTTGGGAAACCTGTCTCTTGGCCATCCCGGTTACGCCTGTAATTAGAGCCGCTGGGCAGCCCAGTTGCAGCTCCAGGCGGTGGACAACAGAGAGCTCTCCCCCCGGGTAGCACCATTTTATACACGGGGCAAGATTCCAAGTCATTCTGCAGGCTAGCCACAGAGTGAGGTGGGCAGATAATCCCCGCGATTACCCCTAAAAACGTTGCCTCTTTCTCTTTGTAAACTTCAGCGCTGTTTAAACTGCACTCCTGAAGGGCCTTTAATGATTATCCCACTATTAGGGAAAGACAAAAATAATGAGGCAGCCAGCTTCTGATGAATACAGTAGCTCTCTGCTCTATGGCGGGGGGCATCTTGCTCTGCCATGAAACAACACAACACAAAACAGACCGATCTGGCATCCCGCAGAAAAAAGAAAATGAAATCGTTAAGTGTGGGGCTAAAGCACCAATGTTTATCTATTTTGCAAGTCGAACTAGGTAGGTCTTGTTGGTTTTGAAGAAAGAAAGAAAGAAAGAAAGAAAGAAAGTAACATGACAATATTTTTCGTTCTAAATCTTGGGAGCATTTGTCCATGGGATATACATTCTTCTGCCCTCAATATAAATATAAAAAGCATAACAATTGTATCGAATTTATCAGCGTATTCCCCCCTTCCTGCATCTAAGGCACGTTACTTCATTAAAAAACAAAACACAACAAAACACCCCCCACTAAGTACTAACGTCATTAGCTCCCCGTTTGTCTCTCTCCTTGGCTTCATCTGCGGTTACAGTTAAAAGTCTCTGTCTGTAAAGAACACTTTAAAATTCGTCTCCCCCTGTGAGCAACCCCACCAGGCTAGGGCAAAAATGGGGGAGACAGAAAGAAAAACGAAATGTTTCCAGTGAAGGTAGAGCGGCTCCGAAAGCGAAGCCCCCAAATGGAAACTGCGGGCAGCGATTCGCCAGGAGGAGAAACGAATGGCCTCCCGTGAGGTAGTTCTGAGGTCCTTGCGCTGTAACTTGCCTGCCCTGCACCGGGGAGCCAGGTTGGTGCAGAAGAAAGTCCCTATGACTGGGAGCAGCGCTATAGACTATCGGAGGGAGCCCTATATACTGCTGGAGAGAGAGAGATGGCTATATGGCTGACTGCAGGGCTATATACAGGACTTTTGGGCGAGGGGGAGCACTGTAGATATAACTGGGAGGCGGTACTATATATATTGCTGGGGAGCAGTGCCATTTACTTCTGGGGGTCGGGGAGCTGCGCAGATTGGTGGGGGCAGCACTACATATATTGCTGGGGAGCAGTGCTATGCACTGTTGGGAGCGGGGGCCCCTATATATATTGTTGGTGGCAGAGCTCTCTATATACACAGCTGGAGGGTGGGCGCTGGAAGCAACACTGTCTGCTGCTAGGCGTCTCCTTTCCTCTTCATCCACTAACCGGGTCCCTTCAGCCAACTCAATTCATCATTGGGTTGATGACCTTCCCCGGACGATCCCTGCCTTCCGGAGCCAGTATCTACCCCCCCCCCCCACTAACCTCCCTGTGTGCGCGCGCTCGCAACATCTGGCTGCGTCTCGCTGCACATCTGGGCGGGTAGCGGGGCTGTCTCCAGCACGCAGCCCAGGCTCTCTGGCTGCGTGGCTGAGCGTGGAGGAGGAATGAGTTCGGGGCAGGGGGTTGCTGATCCATTCTCCCCTTCTCCTTCCTTCCACCCCCCACTCCCCCAAAGAGCCTTGACTCCTCAGCCGCCCCTGCCCCTTGAACGGCTCATTAGCCAATTAGAATAACTAATCACCTCCAGCCGCCCCCAGTGCCCCGCCCCGCCGGAGCAGCCTGCATTCCCGTTGGCTGCCTTGCTATCAACAAATGGAGCTAATTAGCATAGGGAGCCCGGTTCTTATAGGCCACCGGGGCTGCCTGTCACAGGCGCCCGCTTCCCACCCCTCCTCGCCGGTCTGAGGGGCTGCCCGCTGGAGGCCGGCGCTCTGGCAGTCCGGGGGAGGCTCTGCGAGGGGCCGGTTGCATGCACGCTCCCGGGGAGCAGCCGCGGGGCGCTGGGGAAGAGGCGGCGATGCTGGGCGCGTCGCGCGGAGCCTGCTGAGTGACTTGCCCTGGGGCAGTGGCCGTGCGCCCCGGGGAGCGCAGCATGGCACCCGGAGCCTCCCCGCGCTAGTCTCTCTCGGGGAGCGCAGCCCGCCTATGCGCTGCCCAGCGCGGCTCCTGAGCGGCTGGGCAGAGGGGCACCCCCGCGCGGCGCTGGGGCTCGACTGGCGGGGCCCGGGAGCAACCCCCGCGGCGGTGCCCGTGCGCTGAGCCATGCTGCCCGGCGTGCAGGCGGGCATATGGGACAGCGCCTGATCTGCTGCCTCGATGCGCCCAGCGCCCTGCAGCCGCCGCCGCTCCTCCCGGTGAGACGGAAACTCCTGCTGCTCTGCATCATGCTCTTCCTCTGGCTCTACATGTTCTACTCGTGCGCCGGCTCCTGCGCCTCCGTGCCCGGCCTCGCGGGGAGGCCCGCTGCCGGGGCTGGGGAGGCTGCCGCCACCGCTGGAGCGCACGGAGAGGGTCTCCAGGTGCTTTCCAAGTTGCTGCGCCGGGCGCCATCCGGAGGAGCCATGGGGCTGGCGGGTTCCGCCGCGGCTTCCCCCTCGGAGCCGCGAGAGGAGCAGAGCGCGGCCCCCGACCCCACCAGCCCCATCTCCAGCTTCTTCAACGGCTCCGGCACCAAGAAGCTGCCGCAGGCCATCATCATCGGGGTGAAGAAGGGCGGCACGCGGGCGCTGCTGGAGTTCCTGCGGGTACACCCCGACATCCGGGCCGTGGGGGCCGAGCCCCACTTCTTCGACCGCAACTACGAGCAGGGCTTCGCCTGGTACAGGTACCCCCCTGCCCCCACCCCTCCCTGTGCCTCCCGATGCGTGTGCGTGATTGAAACTTAACCCCTCCGGGGTCACTTGCACCAAACCCATAAATCACCTTCCTCACCCTCCGGGCCATTTCTGCTTCATTTCCCCCTCCAGGGGAGGGGGGGTTTCCCACTTACACCTTTTGTACAGATCCATAATTTATAGCCTCAGATCAGCAGCAGGAGTCACTCCCCTCCTCCCCCAACTCTGAACATGCAAGAGATGCTGCTCCCGGAGCTTTCCCTAGCGTCGCTCTTTGCAGCAGACAAGGGTCTAAATTAGGTGCAGCTCCGGGTTGGATTTTGCCCTGGCCCATGCTAGACCCGTCCAGTGTGTATTTTTCCTTTTCTGATTTCTCCAGCCGGACAAGATTTCCTGCAAACTGCCCTCTGTGGAAACGGGTAGGGAGTTCTTGTTTAACTAACAAACAAACAAAATCGAGATGTCCCCTGGGGATTCCCATTACCGCAGAGACTTCAGGAAAAAATATTTAGAAAGTTTATTTTTCTACTCCAGTTGCCGTGCAGTGGGTTTACTGCTCTGCTATCAGAGGGTGGGATTGTTTCTCTCTTAACGCGATATAGAAATTGGAAAAAAAATAGTCTCGTCTCCCTCCAATTAAATTTGAATCCTGGAGAACCATTCAGCTACTTTCTACTATCCCCGCATGAGGGGGCGAGCTACACTAGGGGAATGCCCCAGAGGGGAAGCACTCTGATTAGACCCGTTCTTTGTTTCTAACAAATCGGCGAAGGAATCAGGGGGTATCTGGCTTATCGAAGGATCGGGAGCACAGATTCTGCTGCTATTTCAGGCACTAGCCATGTGGGCCACGGACTTCTGCAAGAGCAGGATCTGTCCATAATTTTTAAGACTACCCCGAACGGTTCGGATTGATGTTCTAGGTCAGGCTGTTGACTGACAACAAGTCAAGTGCTGTGTCCCGGTTCTGTTTCCTGAAGGCAGCTCAGCTGGTGATTAAAAATCCCAGATAAGGCAGCTGGGAAAGTTCCCATAATTTAGAAGATGAAAAGTTATTTGCTGTCGTGACCGATGGGGCAAGGCAGATGCCCCTTCCCATCTTGTACCGTTTCACCAATAGCTGCTTTTTCAGGTTCGGCATTTGCCAGTATCCATATAAACGTGCCCTTGACTTCAGTTTCTCGCATGTAGTTTTGGCGCCTGTAGTTTGCTTTGGCAAGACGGGGTTTGATCGCTGCGAGGAGGCAGCTTTAGCATGGAGCAGGGATGTAGTGATCTCTGTTGGGAAGAAAGGGACACTGCAGCATCTCTTCCAGCGCATCAGACCCTTCTCGGCTCCTTCTTTGCAAAAGGGAATCGATCAAAAACTCCGGTATCGCTCCGCATTAATTCGAACCAATCCAGATTTCTCTGAGCGTTTGCAAGACACGTTGTTTGGTTTTATCGATCAAACAAAATAAAACGCGGCTTTTTTTTTTGGCCTTAGAAATAATTTTTGATCATGAAAAGTTTACAGGGGGAAAATACTTAAGATGCACCGGATCCTTTTTGTTCTTTTAAATGCCAGAAGAGCGTTTAACTGTAAAATGTCTCTGGATTGAGACTGACCTCAGCTGTTCCAGTGGTAGATTTTTATTTTATAGTGAGCCGGTGTTTAAAGGCTTTGAGGTGCAAACTCCAGTTTGCCAGTAAATTATTAGTTTAAACTAGATTTGCCCCGTAGTTTTGGATAATCTGGGTCCGATTTGCTCGCGGAGTTTTGGAAATAAATAATCCCATCGATAGAGTTCCTGAAATATTGCTGCTGCTTCGTGTCCTTTTGCACCGCGTTCCGTTTAACTTCTGCGGTCCAACTTGTTTGGGCTCAGCCGAGCTGAACAGCAATGGAAGAGTAACAGTCTCGTATTAACGCTTTGTTCTTTCTCCCCGCTTGCCTTGTGGTGCCCAAATACGGGTTTTGTTTTGTCTGTCTCTTACCAGCGTGATGTCTCTGAATTTTGTTTAAAACTGTTTTGGCAGGGTGGTTGTAAAAAGTCCTGTCTTCAGAACAAATACGAGTTGAAAAAATCGCCAAAGAACAAAATTGAGAGTTTCTTTTTTTTTAAGCGTGTGTGGAAGGGAAGGACTGAAGAGAGAGAATGCAGCTCCCGGGAGACTAAAGTGTTTTGATTGTTCTCTCTTCCCCTCCCCTAATTATTTCTTTATTCTTGAATTTTGCTGGATGATGAAAGGCATCTTGTGCACCATGTCCCAGGCTGCGAGCTGCCTTGCTTTACCCTGGAGCTGCATTACAGGGGTGTTTGGGGTGGTGGGGGGACTGAGCGGCAGGTGACGGATCTGTACAGAAAATCCAGGGGAGAAAAGTTAGCCCAACTTCGCGGGGGAGGCTGTTCACCTGTAGCCTTCATCTGCCTGGTTCCCTTTTCACTAACTAAGCTGCGAGCACGATTCCCGCAAAGCCCAGTTTTTGGCGCTTTATGACCAATGGAAAGCGAATAACTTCCACTAAATCCTAGGAGACAATGGAATCTGACTAATCGAGAACTAGTCCCGATTTCGCATTGATGGGAAGGGATCGATAAATAGCTAGAGATTAAAATGCACGTGAGTGTACAGGCCTATCTAGTAGATCTATATCGTGTCTATAGACAGTCACATAATCATGTAATTAAATATATAGACCTACGATTTTTATGTATAAAGAAGCCTGGGTCTATCTTAAACAAAATCAGTTGTCTAATTCTACAATATCGGATTTGATTGTCTTGCAGTAAATAATATAAATCATGAACGTCACACTTATTTTATACTTGACTGCTTTTTAGCTGTAGGTTCACTTTCTCTCTCTTTTTTTTTTTTCCCTTCAAGGAAAAAAAACTTAATTCTAAATCTGGTTAGCCTTTGAAAACATATTCAGGCATATAATGTTCTAACTCCAAAACAGTGACTCTATTAAATTAAGGAATGTTTCCATTTGAATTGGAGTAATTAATTTAATCCCCAAAGAAAGGTGAAGGTATAATCTGTGTCAGCTGGAAAACATTTGGTGGGAAAGGAAAAAATAAACTGTAAACCAAGTGAAAAATCCAGTAGCATCCACAGTGTTCGTTAGGGATGTTAGTTACAAAACTGTGTTAGTACTGTATATTTAATCCTTTGCTGATTTTAGAGGGAATGGGTACTTCTTGATTTCAAAGAGGTGGTGGAGTCCAGCAAAAGGAAATACTTTATTTTGTTGCAATAAAACAGAAACCAAACTAGCTATTGCTCTTCCGTTCAATCTTTCCCTTTCTTTCAGGGACATGGTACAGAAGTCAAATCTATTTTAACTCAATCCTGAAACCCATAAGCAGACACTGAAATTAATGGGGGTTCTGTGTTAAGACTATGGGGTCTGGCCAATTCAAAGTCTATTAGTCACTTTAGGTATATGTTTAAGACTCTTTTTGAGAGGGGTGGTAGTGATAAAGGTGGAATTATTTTTTTTTAAAGATCTTCCAACAACAAAATTCAAAGCACCAATGTGTCAAGTTTTTTGTTTTTGTTATTTATTCAGCACTTCATTAACAATTTTCATTAGTAGAGCCTAAGAGGAGATTGGTACTCTTAGCACTATACTTGCCTTCAAGGGAGTCAAAACAGTGTGTGGGGTGTGGGTTTTTTTTTTTTTTAATATCCTCCCCAAACTAAACACAAAATTAATGAGCAAAACTGTCAGGGTGACAAGAAACATTAACTTCTACACTAATCTCTGCTGAAAGAGCAGCATTAGGATCCTACTGCAACCAGGGCAAGATAATTGCCTGGAAAAATGTAAACTCCTATAAAAATTCTGGGTTCTCTCCCACCCCTGTGCTCAGTCATGCACCTTCATTTCTCTGCTCCTCCTACAATCCGCTCTGGGTGTAAGGTCCGGTCACTGATGAAAACCTATTCACCTAATTAATCCAAAATTTTATTCAAACTCGGGAGTTAAATTTAAATCAAATTAAAATAAACATTCAGTGTATGCATTTGTACTGTAAACTCTAAACTAGGGTCTATTCTCCTCTCCCCCCCCCCCCAACCAATAGGATTAAAAAAATAGATAAGCTTTTTTGTTGTTTTTGTCTTTCTATAACTCTTCATTATTCACTCCTGAATCCCCGTCTTGCTTGAAAGCAGTGGTAACTTAAATTATTGCAGGGGTTATGAAAAATAATGCAACAACCTGGCCCATAAATAAGGATGACTTGTATTTATACGTTACATAAACAGTGGTGGTGCTCTGCTCATAACATTATTAAAATAGGAGGGAATGGAAGAGGAATTTATTACCCTAGATCAAGGTTTAGACTATATATACCATGTGGCCCATGTTGTTGTCTGTTTAGGATATTCAAAAAAGTTATTGCCTGACTTGTATAAGGTAGACTTGAGGGGTTGTAATGTTGCAGGTTGTCACTTCGGCACAAACTGCACTACTCACAACCAGTTAAGTGGGTAATGGTTTTATAGTTCGATAATCCCAAGAGCTACAGTGGCAAAGCAGAGGAGGAGATTTGCATTAAGCATCAGAATTTAATTGTAGTTCCACTTGGCATAACAAGGCACCATTAACCTAAACAAAAGAGATTTGTGGGTGATGAAGCTCATTAAAGATGTTGATTGGGTGATGTTTTTTCCCCCTCCCCCTTCTGTTTGCTGTGATGATTCAGGACTTCTGTGAGAAAAGAAAGGAAACAGTCATCTGCCCCTGTAATCACGTTTGCTTTAGACTATGACTGGAGTGCTTCAGATTTTACCTAATTTATTCTCTCATACTGTCCCAGATCACTTCCTCAGAGCTGACATGCTTTTGAAGATGAGGTGGAAATACTAATTAAAAGCTCTTGTTTTGAATGATTCTTTCTCCCCTCTCCCCCCCCCCAAATCCGTAGTATACAACATGTTGTTTGCTAATCTAATAGGGGAAAATATTTAGTTGATATCTATATCTATTGTGCAAATA